CATCAACCCCACCCCCCCCCCCCCGATTCGGCCCCCCTAAGAGATATAAAAGCCCCCCCAAGTCGTGTGTCCTGGCGCCGGGCCTGCATTAAATAATATTGTCCAAGTCGTTGGACCACTTCTGATACTTTTATGGTGCCATTACATCCTTTCTGAAGCTTGGAAGCTTTTCCTCATTCACTGTAACTGTATGGAACAAAAAGCAACCAGCATTTCTTCTTTTGTAGTCAACAGAAGAAAAAGTCATACTGGTTGTGGATCAGTATGAGGGCAAGTAAATTACCACAAAATGTAAACATTTTTCAAGATCTGTTCACCATTGAATAATTTAACAATGTTTAATATTGTTATTAATGAAAGTGTTATCATGACAGCTTTATAGGCTAATAACTTGCGCTTAAAAACATACATTTTATTATGGAGCATTTTTTGTGCTAAATGTACTGTATATAATATAAGTAAGGCTGTATTTATTTGATTCGTAATATTGTGAAAATTTTTTACAATTTTAAATGTTTTATATTTTCTATTTTAATGTGTAACTTACTGTGATGGCAAAGCTGAATATTCAGCATCATTACTCCAGGCTTCAGTGTCGCATTATCCTTCAGAAATAATTCTAATATGCTGATTTGCTGTTCATTATCAATATTTAAAAAATACTGTAATATGTAAAATATCTAACATTGTAAAATGTCTAAATGTCTTCAGTCACACTTGATCAATTTATTGGATCATTGCTATTAATTTAATTTTATTTGATTCGTAATATTGTGAAAATTTTTTACAATTTTAAATGTTTTATATTTTCTATTTTAATGTGTAACTTACTGTGATGGCAAAGCTGAATATTCAGCATCATTACTCCAGGCTTCAGTGTCGCATTATCCTTCAGAAATAATTCTAATATGCTGATTTGCTGTTCATTATCAATATTTAAAAAATACTGTAATATGTAAAATATCTAACATTGTAAAATGTCTAAATGTCTTCAGTCACACTTGATCAATTTATTGGATCATTGCTATTAATTTAATTTTAAAAAATAATTAATACGCAAACTTTTAAATGGTTGTGCGTGTGTGTGTGTGTGTATACATATATATTTATATATAAAAAATGTAACAATTTCTAAACAATTTATATATAAACAATTTAAATCATTAATAATGACAAGTGTAACATAGCACCTACTCTTAATGTAGCCAGTCTGTGCGTACTTTACTAAGAACTAAGAGCCCAAATGAGGCCTTGTTTAACGTGTCGGTGTGGGTGAGTAGCGTGGAATGACATTAGACATGAGCGTAAACTGTGAAAGGGTGGCAAATGTGTTCAACAGCATGAACTCCTCTCAGGGTAAACAGATGGAGCTCTCAAATACTCTCCCAGATGTGATGAGACAAGTTGCATGATTGTGGTTACATATCATTAACAGTTGGCCCCGCTCTGCCTTGCAATATGTCTTTGTCATTGATGGGATATGGAAAGGGTTTGCAGGGGCAGTATGGGTCTCACCGTTGCTGTAGAGAAGCTGTAGCCTGTAGTGGATGCCATTATTGGTCTTCTCGCCATTGTATTCCTAAAAGAATGCACAAGCAAGTAGAACAATTTATGAAAATTGTATGAAAAGAAATGGTCATCTATTAAAACATTGACCATCAAGACAGGTAATCTCAGCATGTTTACCTTCAGATCTGAACTGTGACTCACTGCTGGTAATGACTCTGCTAATTATGGAACCAATGTCCTGGCTACAATGACAATAATTAGCAAAAACTACAACTAAAGACATTCACAACTATATGTTTTATTTATTTGGGTTTGACTACCCATTTTTCTATATACTTGTTCTATACATCTTTACACCGGTCATCAGTTTGGGGTCGGTAATCATTTTTAATGTTTTTAAAAGAAGTCTCTAATGCCCACCAAGTCTGCATTTATTTAATCTAAAATACAATAAAATTGTACAGTAATACAGCAATATTGTTCATTTTTATTACAATTTAAAATAGCTGTTTTCTATCATAAAATATTATAAAATGCAATTTATTTCTGTGATCAAAGCTGAATTTTCAGCATCATTACTTCAGTCTTCAGTGTCACATGATCCTTCAGAAGTCATTCTAATACACTGATTTGCTGCTCATGAAACAATTCTTATTATTATCAATGTTAAAATGTGCTGCTAAATTTATTTGTGGAAACCATGTTACATTTTTAGGATTCTTTGATACACAGAAAGTTCAAAAGAACATAATTTATTTGGAATAGAAATCCTTCAACTGACAGTCTTTACTGTCACTTTTGATCAATTTAATGCATCCTTGCTGAAGAAAAGAATTAATTCCCTACCAAAAAAAATAAAAATCTTACTGACCCCTAACTTTCGAACAGTAATGTAAATTTCTATATAGTTACCAAAGGAGTGCTTTTATGAAACCAATAAAAATTTGAATTTTTAAAAATGTGAAAGTTTTACTTAAAATCTCTGTTGAGAATTACAAAATCATTCACTTTCTAATAATTCCAGCAAAAGAACTGAAGTGCATCCAAATGTAAGCACAGTTTGGTTTCACTCTTTGGACTAAGTGTGAGGTTTACATTTAAACATCACATCCAGGCTTCAGGTGAGTTATTTTACCCTAATGTGACATCAATCCAATGAGACACAGGAACACGACACACCCACACTTGATGTCAGTTTTTCTCTATCTCCTCACTGCCAAGTTTAATGGTAGCGTCTTGGCAGCGACCCAGGGTGGAGTGGAGGAGTGTAGGGGGGTGGTGCTGGGTGGGAGTTATGGCGGAGGTGAGCGGACAGCGAGGACAGAGCACTGACTGTGCCAGCTGGACCTCGTCCCGTATGACTCGTGGGCGGAGCTGTTCTCTATAACCTTTTACTGAGAACAACCCCCCGACACACACACCACAGGGTGAGCAGGACTACCCTCCGAAACACACTGCAGGGCTATAAGGTACAAACACACGACTACACTCCAGAATGGAGTTTGCGGGACCTCGAAAAGGCCAATATTTAGAGTAGAATACACTCTTAAAAATAAAGGTGCTTCAAAAGGTTCTTCACAGCGATGCCATAGAAGAACCATTTTTGGTTCCACAAAGAACCATTCAGTCAAAGGTTCTTTAAAGAACCATCTCTTTCTTACCTTTTTATAATCTGAAGAACCTTCTTTCGCCACAAAGAAACTTTTGTGAAACAGAAAGGTTCTTCAGATGTTAAAGGTTCTTTATGGAACCATTTAGACAAAAAGGTTCTTCTATGGCATCGTGAAGCACCTTTATTTTTAAGAGTGTAGTAGATGCTTTGGGAAAGAGTGAGATTTATTCCCATGATGCTGATCCTGAGAATCACACTCAAACGATAAGCAAAAAATAAAATAACATGGAGCAAAAATCAAAACAAAAAAAAAAGCCAATCAACAATCCTCTGTTAGAAAAGCTGGATATTTTATAATAAATTCAAATTAATAAAAGAACATTACATTTAATATTGTTCATGCAATTCTTATGACAAAAAGTGGTCTCATCGGTGCCCCCTAGACGTATTATTTGGTACTGAGAATCACAATACTGTGTGATAATGTGAGTTTGATACCCAATGCAACCGCATAAAGAAAGAGAAGATATAATGTAATATAGAATAGATTTGAAATATATAATATCTTACCAATATTTCTCACCAAATTAACTTTTCTATATACTGATTAAATAAATAAAAAAGAAAAAGAAAGTAAAGAAAAACGCACACACACAGATATTAAAAACTCAGAGGGGTTCAGAGGGTTTGGGGAATTTTTTAGGAAATATTTGATGTAGTTTTTCAAATAATGTATGTGTGTATGATCAAAAAGAGGTATTAACTTTATTTTTTTTACTTAAATTTTTTAACCTAAAAAAACTACACTCAGATATATTTCTAAAATATATTGCTAATATAAGATATATAAATGTTTATATATATATATATATATATATATATATATATATATATATATATATATATATATAAATTAAACATTGTTTCAGAG